TCCCCCCCCAAAAAAAAAGGAAAAAAAACGAAAAGGAAAAAGAAAAAAAAGAGGAACAAGAGAATGTTCGATCTATTGAAAAATTCTTGGTGAAAAATTCTTGGGATTCCTGTAAACGGGCAAAGAGCGTCGCAAGAGGGAACGAGTAATACGTCGCGACAAGTTGGCCAAGGGAGAAAGGAAAAGAGAGGATTATTAGCCGGGTCTCGTTACTCCGCCACGTAGACGTTCGTTCACCTACGCGTGTGTATATCTCTCTGTCCGCGCACCGACGACGTCTCGCCTATGCGTCGCGTTCCGATGCCTGTATCGTCGCACGTGTGCCAGCTTGCAGCCACTTTATGGCGCGACGATGACGCGCAGGAAGGGGGATAGTGACCGATTGAAAGCCTTTTGCGATCACCGTCACGCCACATCGCGGCATAGAACTCCTTTCCGTGGCCACGGCCGCGATCGATAACGACCGCGGTTCCGATCCTTCTTTCCTACGTTCCACGTAGGCTCCTCCTTATCATCGTTCCTCCTGCTTGATTCGCGGTTGCTTCTTCGTCCTGCGAGCAGCGAGAAACAATTGGAAAGATTCGATCGAGAATAGAACGAAGCTCGAGTAATCGGTAATCGCGACCCGACAAATTTATACCGATCGTCCCCAATCGCGTGCGCGTTTAATTAGTCGAAGCAATCGTGTGTTTTTTTATTTCTCATTTTATTATCCGATTCGGATAATTTTTCGTCGATCGTGACGAAAAATTCGTCTGAAAGGATTCGAAAGAAAGAAAGAAAGAAAGAAAGAAAGAAAGAAAGAAAGAAAGAAAAGATTGACGATTGATTTTTCGGCCAAATTCACTTGGCCGCGATTGTTGTATCCGCGCGGCGCGTCGTATCCGCGTTTCGTGGATGAAAGGAGACGCGACGAGGCCGAGTATCGATTACCCTGCACGCTATATATCTATATAAAAGAAGCTGTAGCGGCAGCGGATTCGTCTCTGCGTTGACCCGAATAAACGTATCGCGTTTTCGTATCGAAGTTCGCGTCTCGAAAATCAGGGGAGGGGTTTCGCGAACGGAGTCAACGTATCCATTCGAGCGAGTCAAACTTGAATCGATCAATGCCGCCGATTTTCCTCTCCTTAAGTGGAAAGACTCAAGGAGACACGGCTCGTTTCGCGACGACGTGACTCGAGTCGGTGTGGCCGATCGATTTCGCCGAATCGTCTCGTCGTCGGCAGCCTCCTCTCCGCGAAGGGGGACGTGGAGACGTGGACGAAAAAAGTGGGAAAAAGGAGGAAAAGCGATGTGCAAGAGGGTTTCTCGAGTGGAACTCTCGCATGGTGGGGACACGGAGACGTCCCTGAGTGGAGCAGAGACTACTGGCCCAAGGACGTTGCGGGGCCCAGATTCTACTCTTCTGCGCTTTTCTCTCTCTCTCTCTCTCTATCTCTATCTCTCTCTCTCTCTCGCTTCCTTTTTCATCGTGTCCCACTCTCCATGCTCGCACGACCATGTTTCTTTCACCACGTATCTTCGTCTCTCTAAAAGTTCATCCCAAGATAGATTGGCATATCTCTCCTCTTCGGCTTTTTAGCAATTGATCTACCGGTCGATCTATCGAGATGACTACCTACGATACACGTTCATAGGGCCCACATTTTTTTTTTTCCCCCTCCCTCTCTCCGTCTTTGTTCCTTGTATACGATCCTCCTTTCCCATCCTACGAGCAACGCGAACACATACGTAGAAAGTTTTATATATATATATATATAAAATATATATATATATATATGTAATGCGTAGAGACGGGTCCGTAGAAGCATGGGCGAGTCTTCTCGACTTGTGTCCTTCGAACCGTTGCTGCCCCACTCGCCAGTTAGCAACAGCACGGCTGCCACGGCCGGAAATACCGGGTGTTCGAGTCATACTGGGTCCGCTGTTGCCCGACGAAATGGGACTGAGGAGCGTAGAATGGTTAATGAAGGATTCTACGGCCCCGAAACGATCAAGCCCGCAGAACCCCGTAATTTTCGACGCGGCCAAATGTATTCGACCTTGGAAGGAAACCTTGATTTCTACATCCAGCATCCCCGCTCGCGGTTTTGAAATGAAAAATGAACTCTTCCCTCGTATGGAAGAGGTTCGAGCAGAGGCTAGATATGATGATCCAACCTTTCGAGCGGGCGCAACCATTTCTTTTCAACGTAAAAGGATCGAAGAGGGATTTTTACTTTCTACTTTGTGATCCCACTGACGGCCGTTATCTATCGACGGGACCGGCTTCCTGTGATACGATTTGCCGCGACTACCGGTTCTGCCGTAATATACGCTCTTTATATTCGCCGTTTCCCCTTCTCCTCCTCTCTTCCTTTCTTTTTTTCTTTTATTTCATTTTATTTCTCATCGAAGGAAAATTAAATTCGCTCGAAAAGCCCCCCGATTTTCGACCTCCTCCGGGCAACGTGTTTGCGTTTACCGCGCAAATTTGGAAAACGTTTGGACGATCGAAAAATCGGAAGCGGGAGCGAGAGCCGAGCGTGTAAACTCGTCCACGTGTCGCGGTATCGCGATTTCCTTGCTTCGAATTCGCTCCCATGAATTTAGATGTAGATTGTAATTTCACGCGAGGTTTATCTAAGCTGCCGTTCACAGCGATACACGTAGAATTGCGTATTACGCACCGTATACTTACACCGTGTATACGAAACGGCCGTGTCACGATGCGCCACTATAAAAATATATCCCGTGGAAAAATTGACGCGCTCGTTCGACGCTAACCATCTATATTTAAAATGGGATATTTTCATCGTGCTAATACGCTCGTTTTCGTTCCGATCGATCGAATTCGTCCCTTTCGGTGAATATGGAGGTGGAATCGTTTTAATAAAACGTATTACGCCTTCCTTCGAGCGAGACGTCGCGTCATCGAAAATATTGCTAACCCATTGTGTGTTTTCGCGTGACGAAGGTCGCGACGCATTTTCGTCGACGCGTTAACGCGTCATAATACCGGCCGATCGTGTCTGCTGCATACGCAGCCTGACTGAACGAAGCGTGTCGAGTGTGTTAACCGTGCCTACGTACGAAAATATTATTTCGCTTTTCCATTTGAACACGTTTCGACCTTTGAGGTGCAGCGACCAAGCTATCGTCGTATCGGCCTCGTCGTCATTGAACGGGAAGAGGATGCCATTTTACGGCTGGCCTTGTTTCTTTTTTTCTTTTTTCCTTTTTCTTCCTTCTTCTTCTTTTTATCATTTCGAACCGTGTCGAAACGATGAATGATTTTTGGATCGTAATTTCGCGGCCGTAATCTAAGTAACGACACGCATGAATCAAGCATCGTTTCACGAACGATCGACATTGAAAGAAATCTGTACGATATTTAATCGTAACCATTGCCATTCGTTCTGTTCCAGGAGAAAAATTCATTCCTGAATTACAATGTGTCCTGCATTCTGACTCTGCCACCTTATCAACGCCAGGGATACGGCCGGCTGCTGATCGACTTCAGTGAGTATACCATCCAATCGCGTCGCGTCGAATACGGATTTTTATTTTTTTTTTTCTTCTTTTTACCGAGCGGTTCCTCGAATCGGTCAGCCTTGGCGCGACCAAGGAGACCGGTGGATGACGACATCCGTCCAAATGAAATCGAAAGGATGGTCGAATTAGGAACCGGAGTTTGTAGGAACGCCTCCGTGGTTTCCGTGGCGTGGCCTCTCGTCGACGTTGCGGTCGCTGCGATTGAAAGGCCTTGTCCGGCACGCGCTACCGGGACAACCTCGACGATCCTCCCGAGCGAGGCTCTCGTCGTCCAGGTTTTCCGTCATTAAAGAACCGCAGCCACCGCGGCTCATGCCCCGAACCCGACATTGCCTTTAAACCACCACGCTTCGATCCTTGTTTTAAAAAAGCTCATTTGTCCATCCCTTGTTCCTCGTAGTTAACAATATCCGTCTGTTATATGGATCTCAAACGAACGAGGGTGAAGGGAGGAGATCGCGCGATCGACTTTTTCTTTCGTTTAATTCGATAACGAGGAACGATCAGAGTCAATGGTACGATAAAGTAGATACGCCGTAGAGGAGTTGTTCGAGGATGCGAAAAAGAAAGAAAGAAAAAGAGAGAGAGAAACTAAGACGCGCGAAGCCGATCGATTCGCGTGTCTCCGATGTTTCTCTCGATTCAATCCTCAACGATTCGAAAAAGAAAGAAAGAAAAAGAGAGAGAGAAACTAAGACGCGCGAAGCCGATCGATTCGCGTGTCTCCGATGTTTCTCTCGATTCAATCCTCAACGATTCGAAAAAGAAAGAAAGAAAGAAAGAAAGAAACGAGAACGGTTCGTTTCTCTTGGTTGTCCCCTATTTACGCGCGTCTGCAACGTGGTGGGTGGGAGAGAGGAAGAGACGGGGAAGAACGACGGTGGAAAGGAGAGGAGGGAAGAAAAAAATGGAGGAAAAAGGAGGAAAAAATGGAGGAGGAGGGGGGTG